GGTGCATTCCGCGGGCGAGATCCAGAACCCCCGCGGTCACCACTAACGGGATTGTGTCGGCATTGTCCGTTGTGAAGCGTTCCCCGGCCGAAATGAAGAGCCCATGGCAGTCGTCGGGGCGAGTTATGTCCAGCTGCGTCGCGCAAGACGACATGAACTGCGGCCGTTTCAGGGGGGCGCGCGTTCGGGGGGGGTGGGGCAGCCACCAGCGCAGTCGCCGCGCATGGAAACAATCGCCAATGTCACCAATGCGCTCTGACGCGGACGCTCGTGGAATTTGCGTGATTGCCGCAATCGGTCGTGGAGCGGTGCAGAGTCAATGTAGCGCTCTTTCGGTAACGCACGAGAGCCCAAGCGCGGGGCCAGGAATCTGACAAATGCCCGGCGAGTGCGAGGGGCCATGGCGTCCTTGGGACCTCGAGTGAGGACGGCAATGCGAAACGCGAGGGAGGGCGCGGAGTAGCAGGACAAGGACGGGGGGAGGAATGAGGAGGAGGAGGAGGAGGAGGAGGAGGAGGAGGAGGAGGAGGAGGAAAGGGGAAGGGAGGAGGAGGAGGAGGAGGAGGAGGAGAGGAGGAGGAGGAGGAGGAGGAAAAGGAGGAGGAGGAGGAGGCGGAAGAGGAGGAGGAGCAGGAACACGAGCACGAGCAGGAGCGGGAGCGGGAGCAGGAGCAGGAGCAGGAGCAGGAACAGGAGCAGGAGCAGGAGCAGGAGGAGGAGGAGGAAGAGGAGGAGTAGGAATAATGAGAATAATGGTAGTACTAATAAAACGAATACTTTTTAAATAATAATAAGGATAAAACGAATACTGATACTACTACTACTATTACTAATACTAATAGTAATAATAGTAGTAATAATCATAATATCAATAATAACAATAATACAAATAATACGACGAAGAAGAATACACATAATACTAAGAATTCGAGTGCGAATGCTATGATGATTAATAAGAGACATACCATGATAATATTTACAATCATCCAGTCATAAACAAATACAAATAATACACTACTAAGTAATAGGACGTACTACGGATAATAACCATAAACTAAAAATAAGAATGCTAGTACTACCGGATTATAATTGTAAGAAGACTAATGATATTAATATCCACAATCAGAAAAATAGCAAGAAGAAAAGGAGGGGGGGAGGAGGAGGAGGACGAGGAGGAGGACGAGGAGGAGGAGGAGGAGGAAGGCTGGAGCAGGAGGGGGTGGCTGATGAGGACGCTTTGTGACATTTGAAGCAGTAGTTGCGGGAGCTTGGTATCTTGGACGCACGGGCAAGAAGTCCACCAGGTCGGGGGAAATGTTCAATGGTGTGTCTTTTCGGGGCTTCGTGGGGACATTCTCGGGACGCCAAGCTGTTTGTTGGGGGAAGGTTGGGGGGGTTCTCTAGTGGCCTCTTGGGGGGCCTTTGGGCGCCTGCCGGCGTTTGTCTGCTTCGTGCGAAGGGCTCGACATTTGAATTCGATTCATTTCTTTTGGGCCTATCTGAGGGCTTTGTTGGGGTCCTCTTGGCACGTCTTGGGCGCCTCTTGGGCCGTTGTGTGGAACTCCTGGACGATTTGGGGTTGGGTCGTTCCGGTGAGATTGTGCAAGCATAGGAATTAGAAATTCGACAGGGTCAGCTTCAAAATTGTTTCCAATCTAGCGCTGGAGTGACACATGTGATTTTTCAGATGCAACTCCTGGGGGGTCAAATTCTGTTTTCGCCCTGGTCCGAAATTCGGTTTAATCCAGCTAAATCCCGCTTAATCCTGCTTAATCCCGTTTAATCCAGCTTAATCCCGCTTAATCCGAGGCCCATTCCGGCGCAACAGCTTCCAAATGGGGCTTAATCCTCCTTAATCTTTCCGACGAAAACCTCCCAGCAGTTGCCTCCTAGCGATTTGAATGCTCAAGATCGACATCCGAATTCCAAGGTAACAGCGCACCGTGTTCGAACGCCATCCGCGATTTCGTCCGCAGATCCGAGGTGCAGGCCCCGCCCGCGGGCCGCCCCGACCGCGACCCACGAACTTCCGAGCCGGCGCGGCCACTGGCCAGATATACTTTCCCCAAAGAAGTTCGAAAAAAAAAAAAAAAATAAAAAAAAAAAAAAAAAAAAAAAAAAAAAACTCCCCCCAAAGAAGTTCGCGCATTCGGTGTGGTTTGCTTAGTTGCGTGGCCTGGTCCGATGCTGGCCTGTCTCCCACGTGGGAGTTCCCTTGTGCAGTGGTGGCCGCCGATGCCCGCCAGCGCCAGAAAACGCGGAATCGCATTCTCGCCCTGGAGTTGGCCGCAGTCGCAGCTCAGGACGGCGTTGGTGTGGCTTGCGCCAGCCACGCCTCCCGCTCAGAACGGCGCTCCTGGCGCCGCCCACGGTCTTAACTCAGCACGCGGGCACGCACCCAATTCGGAGTGGCCCTTTCGCCTCAGCTCCAGCATTGCGCCCGCGGTCAGAACGGACATCGTCCAAACTTACTCTTTTTTCAGGCGAGGAGAAGCATTCACGCACTCCCCGATGTGCATTTTTTTTTCCGGGGCGATAGCGGCCGTCACCAGGGGGGGGGTAAACGGGGCTTGTGACCTCACGTTTCGCGCCGGCGGCGTTTGGGAATGTTTAGGAATGGCCGAGGCCAATTATGAGCAGCAGGTAGGTGGCGATCTGCACCACAGCGCCCGTTTACACCACAGTGCCTGCGTGCACCCTAGCGCTTGTGTGCACCACAGCGCCGATGTACATTACAGCAGCAACGGGCAACACAACGCCAGAGTGCACTGCAGTTCTTGCATGCACCACAACGTTTGTGTACACCACAGCGCCTGCGTACACCACAGCAGCCGTGTGCAACGCAGCACCAGTTCACACCACAATGCTTGCGTGCACCACAGCGACTGTGTGCAGCACGGCTCCCGTGTGCACCACAGCAACCGTGCGCAACATAACATCATTGTCATACACAGAATGTCAACAGGAACCCCCATGACATATGGAACGCCAATGAATTCCACCGATAGGAATTGTTCCATGTAAGATTTGGACAGGAGTATTTATGGAAAAAGGAGCGCCTCTGGAATCTACGAGTCTTTCGAATCCCCCGCATCTTCCTAACTCTTCCCATCTGCGCCCACAGGGCTCCCGCAGAGTTGGCCGTCCGAGAACTAGCTGGACTGACTCAATCGAACGTTATTCCAGGATGCACACTGAGATGCGCACGTGCGCTGTAGTGCCGACCAGCATGACGGGGGGAAGGTTGAGGGAAGAAGAGGAGGAGGAGAAGGAGGAGGAGGAAGAGGAGGAGGAGGAGGAGGAGGAGGAGGGAGGAGGAGGGAGGAGGGAAGAAAATCGCGTTCGATTATCAACAGTTCAACAGTCCCCTCGCGTGGTGTTTTTTTGTCCTCAGCAGATCCTCACCTACATGCTCCTTCTACTTGTCCTGTGCACGCTGGCGCTGTGGTGTAACCCGAGTAAGCGATTAAGGACCCCCCCCCCCCCCCTCCGGTGAAAGGATAACGCACCCGGCACCCGGAAGCGTTATCCTGGCACCAGGAGGGGGCACCAGGAGGGGATACACCAGATTCTTATTCTCATTACAATTCTAATTGGGATGCCACCCGAGGCGGGGCGCTGGAATTATTTATTTTCCTTCCATTTGCGCGGTGCTAATAATATCGCTCGGCGAAAACCCCCCCAAATAATTATTGAATTACGGCGCGGTGCTAATGATAACGCCGGGGGGTTCCTTAATTGCTTCTCCGGGTTACACCGGCGCTGTGTTGCGCGCGGATGCTGTGGTGTACACAGGCGTTGTGGTGTGCACAGGCGTTGCGGTGCACGCGAGCATTGTGGTGTACACAGGTCCTGTGTTGCAGACGGCTGCTGCGGTGTACACATTCGCTGTGGTGTACAAAGGCGCCGTGGTGCATACAAGCACTGTGGTGTACGCGTACGCTTTGTTGCAGACAGCTGCTGCGGTGTACACAGGCGGTGTGGTGTACACGCGCGCTGTGGTGCACGCGAGCACTGCTGTGTACACAGGCGCTGTGGTGCAGATCGCCACCTACATTCCGTTTCTACTTGGCGCCGGTCATCCCAAGGCATTCCCGGACGCCGCCGGCGCGGAACGTGACGTCACCTTGGGGGGGGGGGGGGGGCGCGGAGCCGGTGACGGCCGCTATCGTGGGGGAGGGCAAAACTGGTTTTGGTTCCTTCCGGCCGCTGCCCCGTCTTCTCATTTCCCCTCGTCGTCGTCCTCGTCGTCGTCGTCCTCGTCGTCGTCCTTCCTTCCTTCCCCTCGTCGTCGTCGTCCTCGTCGTCGTCGTCCGCGTCGTCGTCGTTCCTTCCGGCCTCGCCCTTCCTCCCCCTCGTCGTCGTCGTCCTCGTCCTCGTCCTCGCGGTCCTCGCCCTCGCCAGCAGCGCGGGCGTCCTCCCGTGCGCGTGCCCCTCCCCTCCGGGCGGCGGCGCCGGCAGAGCGGCAGCCCCAGGCATGCGGCTGCTCCCAGTGGTTTCGAGGCCTGGGCCCCGCAGGCCCAGGCCACTTCTCTCGGGGGCCGGCTTCTCGGCCCGAGTCTTAAGTCGGGCGTGTCCCCCTACAGGGGGATTTTCGACGAAAAATTAGAAATATTCCAAAAATAATCCCAAATGGTCAAAAAAATACTCAAAAAATAGTCCCCAGACTATTTTTGGACTACTTTTTGGTTATTTTTGGGGTATCTTTTATTTTCCGTCGAAAATCCACCTGTAGGGGGACAGGCCCGACTTAATCCTGGCCCTCAGCCGCCCCAGCCGGGCGGTCACCGACACGGCGAAGTTGCGATTCTCTCCACCTCGACCGTGCCCCGGCGGTGTAGCCTCACCACCGTACGGAGCTTTCTCCCGCGGCCGCGCCCCCCCTGCCCCGCGTCGCGCGAGATGCCAGGTGCCGAAGTTTGAAACGGCCCCAAAGCGCTTGTTTAATGATTTTGCTTCGGGGTGGGGGCGTCGGATCTCAAGCCCCGCACCCCGCCCAGGCATGTGCCTCGGCCTCTGCGGCTGGAGCGAGGAGCTCGGGTTCCTGCTGTTCGCGCGCCTCGTCGAGGACGTGCTGGGCCTGGAGTACTTCTGCGAGTGGCCGCCGCTGCTGGGCGCGAGACGCCCCGGGGGGGGGAGAGGCGCGTCGCGCAGCGGAGGAGGAGAAAGCGGGAGAGGAGGAGGAGGAGGAGGAGGAGGAGGAGGAGGAGGAGGAGCAGGAGCAGGAGCAGGAGCAGGAGCAGGAGCAGGAGCAGGAGCAGGAGCAGGAGCAGGAGCAGGAGCAGGAGGAAAGGCGTGTCGCGCCGCGGGAGAGCGGGCGGAGCAGGGGAAGGAGAAGTGCGCATTCTTGCTGGGCACTCGCCGCTGCAGGTGGGTTTGGTCCAGAGGTCCCCAGGGGCGTCTGGTTGTCACTGGGGGTTCTCTTCGAGGAGGTGATACCATCTTGCCCTGCCTCCTCCTCCTCCTGCTCCTCCTCCTCCTCCTCCTCCTCTTCCTCCTCCTCCTCCTCCTCCTCCTCCTCCTCCTCCTCCTCCCCCAATCGCCGTCGTGCTTACCATTCTCTTCCAGCTCCTTTTCCGCGTTTCTTTTCGAACGTGTCGTGTCTTCGAGGGGGTGTTTTCATGGTCGAACAGAGTCTTCTGAAGCCCTTCGGTGATCCGGGAAACTTGCGGAGACCTCCAGCCCAGAGATCGCTTGGGTCTCTTCTTCACCGCCTCCTCCTCCTCCTCCTCCTCCTCCTCCTCCTCCTTCGTCTCCGTTTCCTCCTCCTCGTCCTCCTCCTGCCGTGGGTGGCACAGCAACGCTCGCGCTCCCCCCCCCCCCGAGGCTACCACACGGACGTTGCCGTGCTCCCCGACTTGGCCCGCGTGGCTTGCCCGTGGTTGCACACGGCGCTCGGGAGCAAGTTGTTCGAGGAGTGGAGAGGAGGGAGGAAGAAGAAGAAGAAGAAGAAGAAGAAGAATTAGAGGAGGAGAGAGGAGAAGAGAGGAGGAGAGAGGAGGAGGAGGAGGAGGAGGAGGAGGAGGAGGAGGAGCAGCAGGAGGAGGAGCAGGAGCAGGAGCAGGAGGAGGAGGAGGAGGAGGAGGAGGAGGAGGAGGAAGGTGGCGGAGGCGGAGGCGGAGGCGGAGGAGGGAGACGAGGAGAAGGAGGAGGAGGCGGAGAAGGAGGAGTAGAGAGGTAAAGAGAGGAGGAGAGAGGAGGAGAGAGGAGAAGGAGGAGGAAGGAGGAGGAGGCGGAGGCGACGGATGATGATGATGATGATGATGATGATGATGATGATGATGATGATGATGATGATGATGATGATGATGATGATGATGATGATGATGATGATGATGATGATGATGATGATGATGATGATGATGATGATGATGATGATGATGATGATGATGATAATGATGGTGATGATGATGTTGATGATGA